TTTTGCTTTTCAAGGAGAGGAGCAAATGGGAGGGGGGAGGGGTTTGTGCGGGGAGAAGGGTGCAACAATGAATGAATGGAATCCCAAAATCTGTGTAGGTGTTCATTGAAATGAAAAATAAACAACCTAAATTTAAAAAAAAATAAACATAATTATCCAAATAAAAAAAAAAGAACACGTGGTCAGAGGGCTGGGGGGTTGCTGGGAGCTAGGCTGGAGCAGCATCGTGCTGGACCTGGCAAGGATGTGGGTGGCCATGCCAGGCTGTCAAGCAGAGAACTCAAGCTGGGATGGTGAATACCGTTAAATTGCTGCAAATCTCCCAGCAGGCAGGCCTTGAAGTTGTGGAGCAGGGGGCCCTAGAATTGCCTTCTATAAGCTTGTCTCTGCTGCCTGTTCTGTGGTGACACCAGAGTCTCACTCAGGGTTGTGCTGTGCTCTTGGTGGTGGGCATGCCCCCAGAAAGGTGTTTCTGTGGTACCACAGGGAACCGTGTGATTCCCAGTCACCCCTGGTTGATACCAGGGTGAGAACATGTGGGGACTTTCCTGGGAAGAAGCTCTACTCCTCACAGGTGACACAGAATCCCAGCTGGGCACTTGGCAAGGTCTCTCCTGCCAGATGTGTCCATTGCCACCCCCTAACCCTCATCATGGAGGCCACAGAGCACTGGACAGAATGCCTGGGCAGGGACACCCTGCAGCTGTAGATGTGGGCCAGGAGGGCAGGCACTAGGTCCGACAGGAGCCAGCTGTCTGCAGATAACTCAGCAGAGGTCAAGGGGCTATCTGCTGGGCCTCACCTTCGGGGCCCGTCTGTCTGATGTCCTCAGGTCCTGGCTGGAGTAGTCATCATGAGCAAGCCCCAAGCCTTGCCTATGAGGAGGCCTCCTGATCATGAAGTATGGGAGACTGTCACTCCCATGGTCCCTCTTCTCAGCTTACACACACATACCCCATGCAGCAATGCCTTCTCTCCCACCCTTGGCTGCCCCTTAGGGCTCCTAAGGAAACTGCAGATCTCCATCTGAAGCGTAGAAACTAGTGCTTGTTGTAAATGGAAATACTTGGCACACATTTTCCCTCACCCCAGGCAAACCACAGGAAACCTCACTTGAGGACAGTCCCTCTGCAAATCCCCGAGCAGAGAAAGCAGAAGCCCTGGGCTCCATTGTGTCCATTCAGTGGGGCTCCCTCATCTCACAGATAAGGAAATGGAGGTTGGGGACGGAGGGGGGACTGGGTCCAGTTACTCAGCAAGTTAGAGATTGAACAGATGTTGGGACCCCAAGTCAAGACAGTTCAGTCCTTGCAGCCAACAACAAATGCTGGTGAGGTTGTGGAAAGATCGGAACTCTTAGTCACTGCTGATGAGAATGTAAAATGGTACAGCCACTGTGGAAGGAGATCTGGCAGTTTCTCAAAATGTTGGGAATAGAAATACCATTTGACCCAGCAATTCCTCTACTGGGAATATACCCCAAAGAGACCAGAGCCACAATTCAAACAGATGCATGCACACCCATGTTTATTGATGCATTATTCACAATAGCAAAGAGATGGAAACCCAAGTGCCCATCAACAAATGAGTGGATAGAAAAATTATACATTCATACAATAGAATACTATGCAACATTGAAAAACAATGAAATAAGAAAACATTATACAACATGGGATAACCGTTAGGACATTATGATAAGTGAAATATCTCAGTTACAAAAGGACAAATACTGCATAACATTCTTTTTATAAAATAGAACAGATATGAGGTGGGGAGGGAATGGAGAAGTGGATCGAAAATGAACACTGCATTAGAACGGATGAGAGGAAGAACTGTCCGAAAAGAATACATGATTATGCATTATATGTATGAGAACAGGCTGGAACAAGAAGTACAGTGGGAGGGGGAAGAAAATGTGCAACAATGAATATAAAAAGACAGTTCATCCAGTTTTTACACTGAAAAAACCTGTCACTCCCATGATCCCTCTTCTCAGCTCCTCACACACACCCCCTCCCACACATACACACGCATGCAGCAATGCCTTTTCTCCCATCCTCAGCTGCCCCTTAGGGCACCTAAGGAAACGACATGTCTCCTTCTGGAGCGTCATGGAGTGACATGCGGGAGTTTGAATTATATTATACATTGGTAGCTGTACAACTCTGTACAGGTTATTTAACTCTCACTGATCTGAATAACGGGAAGAGTAAGATGTACAAATAAAATTGACATGGCAAGCACCATGCTTGTTATATAATCTGTATTCATTATATCAAAAAGCCTCACAATCATTGTGGTCAAGTAGGAAATGACTCATAACTGGTCCTCCACTGAGTTTCAAGGCTGTAAATTGCACAGGAAGAGATTGTCCATCTTTCTCCCAAGGTGCGGCAGATGGATTTGAACCACCAATGAGACTCTTCCTTTCGTTAGAAACACAGCTCCCCATTGACTACACCACCAAAGCTCACCATTTATTGCATTGTCAAAGGCAGTACATTCATTGCACAGGACGAGATTGCCCATCTTTCTCCTACAAAACAGTTGGTGGATTTGAACAGCATGCCTTTGAGTTGGCTGCGCAACTCCTAACCACTTAGCCTCTGTCATTCAGTGACAGCAGGACCTGGACAGTTTATCAGTCTGCTGAGTACTTTAGGGTAATATATTTCTGGTTCCCTTTCTTGGTGAGCTTTTATAGGACTGAATTCTTAACTAGGAAAGTTTTAATATTGCCTGCCTGGCCACAAGGGGATTCCTTCACAGAGCTCCCCAAACATCATAGGCTCTGGAACTCCCCCTGCTGGCTTAACTAAAAAAGAAAATATCGCTTGGCCTGAGACCCCAGAGCTGGGGACTTGGTCTCTAGAGTGACTCCTTCAGCAGTCAAGGGGCCTTTTATCTAAGGTGTCCCCGTCTTGATCACGCCTCTCCCGGAGGATAGCAGAGCAGGAAGCAGACATGGGGAGGGCAGTGACCTTCTGACTGGCACAGCATAAGCGCTAAGGTGGCAGCCATACCAGGCCTGTTGTCCTTCCTACCACATGTCCAGGGTGAGGCAGAAGATCTGCCCGGAGCCAGCCCTGCCTCGTGACACTGGATAAGCCACCATTCTGTGACCCTTGGGAGCCCTGTTTGTGAAGGATTCTCTTGGTCAGAGAATCCTTGTGGGTTTTACAGTTCTTCTGCTTCCACATATTAATACTTTGTCCTGAAAGAGAGCATTTGTAGATGTGTATACACATATGCATATGTTTATACATGTGTGTCACGTGTGTGCAAGGTGTACATATATATATGCATGTGAAACTGTGTGTATGTGTGAATGTCCGCAGCTTTAATCTAAGGCCATGTCATCTCTTTGTTCCCTAAGGATCAAGACAAGACCAGGCCGCTGTCCACCCTGGCCAACTTGGCTATCATCATCACAGATGTCCAGGACATGGACCCCATCTTCATCAACCTGCCTTACAGCACCAACATCTACGAGCATTCTCCTCCGGTAAGACCCTGTTCGCCCTGGGGGTGGCAGGGGTGAGGGTGCTGATGGTGGAATGGGTTTCCCCTTGGCACTTCCTGCCCCCTTATCTGTATAGGCACGACAGGAGCAGATCTAGCAAGTAAAAAACCAACACTTACTCTTGATGTCAAAAGCTATGTCCTGAACTTCTCAGTTTACCTCTAGGGGGTCTGAGTAGTCAAGAATAAAGACCCCTTAGTCCAAGCAAAGGGGGTGCTGGTGGCCTGGTTCACAAGAGGTACACGGTAACCCAAAGGCAGCTCCCCTCTGGTCTCTTGGATCTATGAGTGTCTCATGGAGAAAGACAAGCAGTCTCCTGCGCATGAAAACCTGCGAGAGAGTCAACTGGGGGAGGTTCTGACTCGCCCACAGTGAAGGAGTGAGTTCAGATGAAAGGAGGAAGTTGGTGAGGATTTATGTGAAGTAACGAGCTTGCCTGGAGAAAACCTAACGTGGACTAGATTGCAAATTTTCACTCAGTCAGCCTTCATGAAACATCTTTGTATTCCCTGCTGGTCCCCCAAACACCAGTGTACTTCTCTCAGCCCCCCAGCACTGCTCTCTCCCCAGGCTGCTGCTCCCCAAGGTGGCATGGCCTACCATGCTAACAGCTCCTGCTGCCCTCCCCCCAGCAGTTGCTCAGTCTTAGGGTTTCCCAAGTCCCGATCTTTAGTGAGGCCTCTGATTGCCAGTGTCCATGATTTGGGGTTGCAAGGACACAGGTCACCAGCCAGCTACCCTTGGGCCATGTGCTAAATCTTCAGCTGGGCTGGGGAAACCTGAGCAGGAGACAGGTTAGGGGTTCACATGCTCTGGGTACACCCTCAGAATCTCCTCAGTGTTGTCCTATCTCTGCCTTTTTCTCCACACTTGGAATGCATTCCAGAGTCTCCCTCTTGCTTCCACAGCTTTTTCATAGTCTGATTCCCAAACACTCCAAAGCAAAATTTTCCAGCTTTTCTAATCAGGTTCGGTGCCTTGACCAGGCCTCCCTGCCAGTTTAAAGCATGGAACCCAATGCAGAGCAGTAATTCTCAGGCAGGCAGGGCTGAACACTACTGCCTGCCTGGCCTCACAGGCCCGAGGACCCCGGCATGCTCACTTCTAGCCTGGCTGCTGCCCTCCCCCACCCCGCGAGCCCTGTTGGGACCCTCACTTCCCCCACCCCCTCTTTATCTGCGGCTCCCAGTGTGTATTCCTCGCTCTATCAGTGTATCAGGCCAGAATGCCTCATCTAAAGTGTATATATTACCTAATAAAATCCTTCTTATTTGGGATTATTGCATCAAATTTTAATTTCCTCACTCGAGCGGCAGCATGTCAGCCTGCCCGTCAGTGAAGGGCCGATAGAAGGTGAGAAGAGCGGATAAACGGCACAAATTACCGCCGGCCGATGCCTATCAGTCCTTTGACTGGAATTGACTGGAATTAAGGACTGAGAAATAGGATTTTCTGCCTCAGAATCTGCTGTGGCAGCTCTCGTCGGAAGCCCCCTTCTGCCCACCGGCCGCCTCCTCCTCAGGGTGCCTCCCACTCCCAGAGTAAAGTGCAGGTTCACCTTTCAAGTCTGTAATCCTGTCAGGAAAATGGGTGTGGGTTAAGGGCTGCATCCCAGCAAAGCAGATGGACTAGTCTCAGTGAAGAAGACTGACCGGACCTGGGCCGCACAGTTGACCCCAGGCAGGCTCCTGCTTTAGCTGTTGTCCTGTGAAAGGGTTTCTTTGAAGTCACAGACAGGGAGGAACTTAGACTCTTCTAGAAAAGTCTTCACTTCTCTCATTTGGGCTCCTACTGCCACATTGCACATCTTCACTCTGGAATGGGATTATTGATCCAGAGTGTTGACTTTGCCAAAATGCTTTTGAAAGTGTGTGTATGAAAACCCTATGTGCAACAGAACACACTTACACTAGCAGATATGGCAACTGAGGCTGAGCACTCAAGTATGGAAACAAATAGGAACAACTGTAAGCAGACACTAGTGACTGGAACGTGGAATGTAAGAACCTTGAATGTAGGAAAATTGGATACTATTGAGAAGGAAATGGAACACAAATATTGGCATACTAGATACTGAGGAAATGAGATGGACTGGCATGGGACATTTTGAGTCAGAGGGTCATATGATCTACTATGCTAGAGACAAAAAGATGAGGAAAAATGGGGTTGCTTTCATAGTTTAAAGCCATTTCTAGATCCATCTTGAAATACAGTGTTGTGAGTGACAGGATAATATCCATACTCCTACAAGGAAGTCCAGTGAATACCACCATCATTCAAATATATGCACTTAAAACCAGAGCCAAAGAGGAGGAAATAGAAGATTTCTACCAACTTTTGCAGTCAGAGATTGATCAAACATGCAGTCAAGATGCATTAATAATAATGGGTGACTGGAATGCAAAAGTTGGAAATAGAGAAGAAGGATCAGCAGTTGGAAAAACATGGACTTGGTGACAGAAATGAAGCTGGAGACTGAATGATAGAATTTTGCACAATCAATAACTTACTCATTACAAATGCATTTTATAAGAAACACAAACACAGGCTATACACATGCATTTCACCTGATGGTATGCATAAGAATCAGATCAGTTACATCTGTGGAAAGAATCACTGGAGAAGCTCAATATCAGCTGTGAGAACTAGGCCAGGTGCTGATTGTGGAACAGATCACCAACTAGTCATATACAAGTTCAAGCTGAAGCTGAGGAAAATTAAATCAAGTCCACAGGAACCAAAATTTGACCTTGAGTCTATCCCACCTGAATTTCAAAACCTTCTCAGGAATAGGTTTGAGGCCTTGAACATTAATGAGTGAAGACTGCATGAGCTGTGGGAGGGTATCAAGAATATCATCCATGAAGAATGCAAAAGGTCATTGCAAAGATGGAGGAGGAAGAAAAGACCAAGCTGGATGTCAGAAGAAACTCTAAATATTGCATTGGAGTTCCGAGAAGCCAAAGCAAAGGGAAGACATAAAAATATTAAGCAGTTCAACAGAAGATTTCAGAGGGCACTGGGGGAAGACAAAGTAAAATATCACAATGAAATGTGCAAGGAGCTGGAGTCAGAAAATCAAAAGGGTCGAACTTGCTCAGCATTTCTTAAGCTCAAGGAACTGAAGAACTAATTAAAACCTTGAGTTGCAGTACTTAAGTATGCTTTGGGCAGAATATTAAATGATCCAGGAAGGATTGATGGAAAGAGTATACAGAGTCATTGTACCAAAAGGAATTGGTGGAAACAGAAGAATTTCTTGAAACAACATTTGAGCAAGAGCCTGTGGTGATGAAGGAGGAAGTTCAAGCTACTCTGAAAGAATTGGCAAAAAACAAGACCCCAGGAATTGATGGAATACCAATTGACATATTTCAATAAACAGATGTAGTCCTAGATGTGCTCCCCAAGTTGTGCCAAGAAATCTGGAGGACAACCACCTGGCCTACTGACTGGAAGAGATCTATATTTGTTCCATTTCCAAAGAAAAGTGATCTGACTGGAAATTATTGAACAATATGATTGATATCACATGCAAGCAAGATTTTGCTGAAGATTATCCAAAAATAACTGGAACAGCACATCAACTGAGAACTGCCTGAAGTGCAGGCTGGGTTTAGAAGAGGCTGTAGCACTAGGGATATTATAGCTAATGTCAGATGGATCTTGGCTGAAAGCAGAGAGTACCAGAGGATGTCTATCTGTGTTTCATTGATTATACAAAGGCATTTGACTGTGTGGATCACAAAAAACTATGGCTGACTTTGAGAGAAATGGAAATATCAGAACACTTGACTGTGCTTATGTGAAACTTGGACCAGGAGGCAGTCTTTAGAACAGAACATGGTTCAAAATTGGGAAGGGTGTGCATCAAGGATGTGTCCTATCCCCATATATTTTTAATCTATATGCAGAACAGATTATTCAGTAGGCTGGGCTCTATAAGAAGTGTGGCATCAGGATTGGAGGTAGACTCAACAATCTGCTTTATGCAGATGACATAACCCTGCTTGCTGAAACTGAAGAGGACCTGACGTGCTTGCTGCAGAAGGTCAAAGACTGCAGCCTTCAATATAGATTGAAGCTTAACATTAAGATTCTCACTACTGGGCTAATTGGCAGCATCATGATAGATGGTGAAGAGATTGAGATTGTTGACATCTTCAGTTTGCTTGGCTCTACAACCAACATTCTTGATACCAGCAGCCAGGAAATTAAAAGGTTAATGGCATTGGGAGTCTGCTGTCAGAGACCTCTCCAAGGTACCGAGGAGCAATGATGTCAGTCTTGAGACTAAGGTGTGCCCAATATAGGCAATGGTCTTTGCAATTACTTGCTATGCATCAGAGAGCTGGACAGTGACTAGGGATGATAGAAGGAGAGTTGATGCCTTTGAGCTGTGGTGCTGGAGAAGAGTATTGAATATACCATG